TATTCTTTTACAACTTTATGTTGTGCTAGTCCTATCATGTGTTTTATTTTTTCAGGTATATTGAGGTTGTCGAATATGAAATCAGCCGAAATATCATTCGGTGAAACTAACGCTAATACCATTCATAAAAATTTTCTTTTGTAAATTAATGAAATATTTAATATACTCTTGATTTCTACTTCCTCTAGACTTTTTCAGTGCGTCACTGTACTATGTGCTTTTGTAATAAGTGAATTCAGATTAATGTATGTTAAGCTTAGTTAGTGGAATAGAGATTTACTATAGCATTATGAAACTGTTACTTTAGTCATTCATAGGATTTCGCTTCTGTTTCTATACAATAGCACATTGTAAAAACTAAGTAGGATTAAGCAAGTTGAATAATAATTCTGTACTGTTCGATACTCTAAAGTCGCCTTATCTAGCCAGTTGCAAGTCTGTATGCTGTTAAACGCCAAGTCTGTATTAGAAGTAAGTGTAGTAACTTAAGCTTGATAGCTACTTCACTAGTCTGTTAATATGCATTGACATCATCTAACAGACTGTCCACCTGACATTGAGCGAAGAAACAACTCTTATTTATTTCTAATATGCCTCTGAATCATGTGACTCTATCTTATGTCCATCGGTTCTATGATCAACAACTGCGGTACTTGCATATCTACTTCCGATAATAAATAACTCACGCCTTTATGCGTATTACAACGGTATGCCCTGTTCATTTTATGTGTGTACACTAAGCAAGTCTTCCATACATTCTCCCATAAATGTCAAGCTTCCTTGGTTCCAATGCACATGACGTTCTAAAATGTCTCCAGCCGACGAACCCTTCTTATAGCCTAAGTCCAGATTGTTTGCCTTGTCTTATTATTAAAAAACGTGCAGATATCCTGTGTTTTCTCCTCATGGACATATTTAATGATTCTTATTCCTGAAATGTCGTGGCAGCCATTTGGAAAGACATTAAAATTGTACCTATACCTAGGTCATCTACTGGAACATGTATTAAATTTAGACCTATTGCTATTATTTCTCCTTATCTGAAAACTATAGAAAGGTTACTCTTACTTCACTTGAAGCCTTTAACGACCCCAAACAATTCGCTTATAAACACAGTAGAAGTATTTTAGAATAGCAAATACTCCCAAAAACTATCAGAAACTGTCTAACTACCCTGGACTTAATGCTGTTCGTAGAAGACTTTCAGAAACTATTGTCAATAGCAAGCGCGAAAAACCAGAACACAAATTGGTGATTCAAGAATCCTATATTCTTGCGCCAATACAGAACCAACCACAAGGTTATTGTACACAAAGTCTAAGGATAAATGTTATAACAATTAATCACAGTAATACTTCTGATAGTTTTTCTTTGTCTTCTAACAAACAGCGAACGATAGAACGATGACTGCAGTATCGATGACTCCCGCCAAAATATGTAGTTGGGTTTGAGCAAACAACCATGAATTGATCGTTCGTTCTTCAACTACTTTGACAATAGCTCAAACTTAATGTTGAATTGTTAAATGCCTTCATTCTTATTTATCATGGAGAAAGCAGTACACTGTATGTCAGGGGAAGTCATCCACCACCAAGTGTATTGTTATTTGACGAACTGAATGTACACATGTACACGAAATGAAATATGTCAATTCCGCGGACGACCTATCCATTCCAATGTCTGTTAACTGCCAGCTACACCGTACTAAGACGAACAGCTCTCTAGCAAGAGTCAGAAAATGATTTAAACTAAATCCTTCCAAATGTCACACTGTTAATTTCAGTTTCCGATGTAAGAGAAAGTTAGATGAATCTGTTTACTCCTATGACCCTTGCAAAATTGATGATAGTGGTATAGAAAACAAGTCTGACGTCAAGTATCTCGGACCAACTCATCACACAGCGTATAGGCCTTAAATGTACACCACATGCATGCATAATGTTTATGAGCTAGGTATGGAAATCAAGGTGAACGCTTGTACGGTACACTCTTTATTTATAAAACTAACTCGTATGTGAGAACTACGATTTGACCAGTTATACAACGTTTAATATATTAAGACACAATAAACACACTGATTACTTCTATGACGCCTTACCTATAGCTACGTAGCTACATTTAAATAGTTTCCGCTACTGCATTAGTGAGCAACTCAACGTCATCTTTGAATAACGAATTAAAACCGGACATCCTGAGAACTTTCTGGGTAAAAAGATCGTCTCCTAGTCGAAAAAATAAATATATCCTAATCTCCACGAAGGCGTTTAGAGGCATTTATCCTATCGCCTCAAATGACTCACTATTTGCAGTCACTTATAAAGTGAAAATAAATTTACCGAAGACAGTGTGCTTATGGTTTCTAGATATCATAATGCAGCATGATGAAAAAGCTATATCCATAAGGTTATGACAGTCAGGTGAGCGACATTAATCCGAAACACAACGACTACGATTCTCAATCACAGAACATTCTACTTTGCTACCAAATCTTTTAATCGTATCAACAGATGTCTCGCCGAGAAAAAGAAAACAAACGGTTCAGAGAAAATTTATTAAAAGTTTTCTTAAAAATCATGGGCCACCATATTTATAGTCACGCAGAAATTAAAAGTATCTTAAAAATAGGAATTTCATTATTTGAACTGATACAAGCAATTTGTACTCAGACAATTTTTTCACCCCGAATAATAATCAGCTTCTCAGCTTGTTCTATCTTCGAAAAAACCACCGATTGTAGACCAAAATCCGAAAGGTTATACTTGCTAGTTAAAGTCTTACCGACCACTCACCAGATTTCTTTGTTTGTACGTACAAACACCACATTTATACTTCACATGTTGCTCATCCCTGTTCATTGTAGATTCTCTCACAATATATCAGATTTTTCAGCTGACAACAGACACCTTGTCGAAAAGCTTTTCAACTTCAAACCAGGTTATGAATTCTCCTATTTAAATATGACAATCGAAAGCCTTGCTAGTATCAACTCAGATTGGATAAACGTAAAAATTGATGTGTTAACGAAAGGTTACGGAACTGCAATACTACATGGTCGACTAACATGGACGAAAATGCCTTGTGAGCGTCTCAATCCACTAATGACCCTGTACGTGACAGATATAATTATTACCGTTTCCTTTAACTCCTAGAGGAACATAGAGCTTCAGCCACACGTCTCCATTACGTTCGGTTCTCTGCCAACGTCTTCACCTGGCTCCACGTCTGCCTACATGCTTTCATCTCCTCTTCACATGACCTCTTCCATATCGTCCTTGGATGACCAACTCGTCGCTTCCCGTTCTGGTTCAACTCGAGAGTCTGTCTTGTGATGTCACTTGATGGTTTTCTCAGAGTATGGCCAGTCCACCTCCATTTCTTCCTGCCTATTTGTTGCACAATCGGTTCCTGCTGGGTTGGTTCGTTCCCAGAGATCCCTGTTTCTGATCTTTTCTGGCCATCTGATCTTGAGTATTGAGCGAAGACAACTGTTAATGAAGGTCTGTAGTTTGAGATGCTCTTTATGACGCGCCATGTCTCTGATCCGTATAGTAGCACTGACTTCACATTGGAGTTGAGAATCCGGATCTTATTTTTGATGCTGAGTGCTGTTGACCTCCACACAGACTTGAGAGTAATGAAAGCTCGCCTTGCTTTTCCGATCCTTGCTTTGATATTCTCGTTAGTTCCGCCTGCAGTTGAAACGATGCTTCCCACGTGGGTGGGTAGAGGAGGTTGCTTCTTTCGGATTTCTTCCATTTACACCGATCGTTGTCTGTTGTTGTTGTTCTTGTTCAGGAATCTTCATCACCTCTGTTTTCTCTATGTTCACCTGAAGTCCTACCTTTGATGCTCCTTCTACCAGCTTGTTGCTTTTTGCTTGCATATCTTCAAGTTTGTGGGAAATCAGACATATATCATCGGCGAAGTCCAGATCCTCCAAGTTTTTTGCATGAGTCCATTTTATGCCTGTTTCCTCATTGCCCGCTGTTTGTCGCATTATCCAGTCTACTGCAATCAGGAAAATCATTGGCGATAGTAGGCAGCCTTGTCTTACTCCTGTCTTCACTTCGAGGGATTCCGTGAGTTTCCCGTTGTGGATTACTTGGCATGCAGCATTGTCGTACAGCTGTTGGATGAAATGCATAATTGTCGGTGGCACCCCGTAGTAGTGACGTAGTTGTCAAAGCACTTTTCGATCGACGCTATCGAAGGCCTTTTCAAAGTCGATGAAGTTGAGATAGAGAGGTGACTGCCATTCCAAGCTATGTTCAATGATGATCCGTAATGTGGTGATCTGATCAATACATGACTTGTTTCTCCTGAATCCAGCCTGTTCCGGTCGAAGTTTTTCATCCAGGGCATGTTTGATTCTCTCCAGGATGATGCGGCTTAGTATTTTGCTTGGGATGGACAGGGACATAATGCCACTCCAGTTCTTGTATTGACTTAAGTCTCCTTTCTTTGGTAGTTTGAATAAGTATCCTTTCTTCCAATCCTCGGGTACTTTGCCTTCATTCCACACCCTCTCCAGTAGGTGTATCATCAAGTCCGCTGTTGTCTCTGGGTTCATTTTAAACGCTTCTGCTGGGATTCCATCTGGTCCTGCTGCTTTTTCAGCTTTCAGCATCTTGATTGCCTTCAGGACTTCTGATTACGTCGGGGGGTTGATGTTCATTGGTAGCTCTGTCTCTGTTGTTGGTATTTTTGGGTGCGTTGTAGGTGGTGGTCGATTTAGGAGTCTTTTGAAGTGTTCAGCACAGTGTTTCCTTTGCTCCACTTCCTTGGTGATTGACTTTCCAATGTCATCCTTCACCGGCTTGATTTGTGTCAAACTTTTTCCCGATAGTTACCCAGTTGTTTGGTAGAGTGTTGCGAGGTCTCCTTTGTCTGCAGCTTGTTCTACTTCACTTGCCATGATTTCATAATACTTTCTTTTATCTTCTCTGGCACATGTGACGGATAATTTCAGTCTTATTTCAGCGTCAAAAGAATATTGGACATTTGAGCTCTCTTTCCAAGCGGCGGTAATTCAATTGGTGACCTTACTAAGCAATGTTTCGGAATCAGTACGATCATGATGTATCTGTTTGGAGTCCACAGGGACGAATACACCAAATAGAGTATGCTATGGAAGCTGTAAAACAAGGATCAGCGGCAGTTGCTTTGAAGAACCATGACTATGCCATAATTGTTGCGCTTAAAAGAGCACCGTCGGAATTATCATCATACCAGGAAAAGATAATCCACATAGATGACCATGTTGGTGTAGCGATTTCGGGTTTAACCGCAGACGGTAGACTTTTGAGCCGGTCAATGCGTCGTGAGTGTGCCGATAGCAGGTGGGCCTATGACGAACCTCTGCCAATATCTCGCTTACTCTCAACGATTACACTCAAAATGCAGATCCCAACTCAAAGGTACGGGCGACGTCCATTTGGAGTTGGAATGCTTGTAACTGGTTATGATGCACTAGGACCACATGTCTATTATCTGGTGAGTTTTTTGTAAGATGTTGACAGCACTTAACAATATACATCAAACGAAGGGTATAGACACAACTCAGAGTAAACATAATGAATAGTAACCCTTTTTGATAACCGTTGATGTATGGTAGGCAACTAATTATACTAACTACAAAATCAAGATGCCTTCGCACGTTAGAGAAGCTATTGTGTCCCATATATATACATGGCATTGTGGAAACAGAACGATATTTTCGCTTACCTGGTTACGAACACCAAGCATTTTGTAGATATATCTCCAAGTTCTTTATAAGGGTGTTGTAAGCTGCATTGAAGTACTTTTTAGTAGTAAATTTACCCTAAGTTAAGGGTACCACTTAGGTGGTAGTTCCTCTGATCGATCCCAGGTCATCTTGTTAGCCGTTGGATTTGTCACTGTTCCTTGGGTTTTCGAGCGTGATGGAGTGTATTTCCTACTATGTGCAGAGTAAATTGTTCTGTCAAGTTAGCTATGAGAAGTGAATGTCATTTTGAACAGCCTCACGTCAAGGTGATTTCCCTTTATAAACCATATTAAGTAAGACACATTGACATCATTTTATAATACCTTGCTCCCCTGTTTTAGTCCGAAGCAAATACCGGCACATAACCTTCAAAGCCTGTGGAAGAATACTAGAAATAATAGAAATTAAGAGAAAACAAATTAGTATCTAGAAGTGTTAGATGACAAGCCTGAACTACTAAGTTGATCAATTCTTATTACCTTGATTGTATGGTAGCTAAATATGACATCATGTCTCGTCTCAATAAGAGGTGACTCACTCTTCAAGAAAATGACTAAACTCATCATATTTATTAACCTAAACTGGGGAATATTCTGGTGTTTAACAACTAATTGTACTGTGCAGCATTCTGTCATATAATAATTTGGCATAGCCATAATTTTTATAGACACCAAACACTTCTCTACCGTCGTTTGCAAATCAACACGTGATTGGGGCTCCAGTGAGCCATGCAAATGTTTAGTTTTGGTTTCTAAATAAAATAAGTTAGTAAGTAAATTTATAAGAATCGATTGAGAAGACTGGGGTGTTTAGTGCGTGTCTACCCACCTCTCTCAACTTGCGGTGTTAACGGAAGAGAGGTTAGATTGGGTGAAAACCCGTGATTTGGCAAATGTATTTATTGATTGGCTGAATCATGTAGGGAAATGAAGTATGTTAAAAAACTAAGCTATTTGGCTCGGAATCAATACCATTCACACAAATGCGTACTCTTCTTTTATTTTGTCATTAAGTCACATATCTTTATCTTGTCGTCCCTACCTCTTTTTCACCGTATTCTACCCAGCTAGCACCGAATTCGGCCGCACTGCAGAATTTTTGGGGCAGACTGCAAATAATTGTCCCACTTTCTGCAATGCGCCCGGAGAAAATGCTAGCTGGATACATACATTCTTTGACCATAATTTTTACTTCACCGCTATGCAGGTATGAAATGTGACAAATTGGGCCACTAAGTTTTGATAAAAGTGCCTGCACTAATAACTCCTGGTTGTCTTTTCACCCAAACTATCTGCAGCCTGAACTTGTTTTCCAAATATGCCCTACCAAGGTTTATTGAGATCAGTAAAGTGGTAGTCAGCTATTGATAAAGTTCTGATACATGCAGGTTATTTTACCTTAGTATCTACTAACTCATCAAAACCCTTTGAATGATGTTCTACAAAGTATAATTCAGTATAGCATCAGATTTCTTTTATCAGGTGTTGGAATTATGAGACAGAAGAAGCATCAAAGGTAGGACTTCAGGTGAACATAGAGAAAACAGAGGTGATGAAGATTCCTGAACAAGAACAACAACAACAGACAACGATCGGTGTAAATGGAAGAAATCCGAAAGAAGCAACCTCCTCTACCCACCCACGTGGGAAGCATCGTTTCAACTGCAGGCGGAACTAACGAGAATATCAAAGCAAGGATCGGAAAAGCAAGGCGAGCTTTCATTACTCTCAAGTCTGTGTGGAGGTCAACAGCACTCAGCATCAAAAATAAGATCCGGATTCTCAACTCCAATGTGAAGTCAGTGCTACTATACGGATCAGAGACATGGCGCGTCATAAAGAGCATCTCAAACTACAGACCTTCATTAACAGTTGTCTTCGCTCAATACTCAAGATCAGATGGCCAGAAAAGATCAGAAACAGGGATCTCTGGGAACGAACCAACCCAGCAGGAACCGATTGTGCAACAAATAGGCAGGAAGAAATGGAGGTGGACTGGCCATACTCTGAGAAAACCATCAAGTGACATCACAAGACAGACTCTCGAGTTGAACCAGAACGGGAAGCGACGAGTTGGTCATCCAAGGACGATATGGAAGAGGTCATGTGAAGAGGAGATGAAAGCATGTAGGCAGACGTGGAGCCAGGTGAAGACGTTGGCAGAGAACCGAACGTAATGGAGACGTGTGGCTGAAGCTCTATGTTCCTCTAGGAGCTAAAGGAGATAATAATAATAATTGGAATTATGTTGAGGAGCGGTTTGCAGTGTGGAATGAAAGAAAATTCCTAAATGTATCTCGTAGAACTGCTTCATCTTTTCACGTTGCTGCACTAATTTATATTCTCCTCTTGTTAGTTGGTCTGCATAATATAAGATTTCCTTAGACATTAGTTTTCACCTGACATAGCGTTCGCTTCAGAATAATATTCGTCCATAGATATCATGGTAACGGTAAGGTTATCTTGGTCCAAATCAGTTGTTTACTAGCACCAACACATATGTGGCTTGGTACTGTAGTCATTTTCAACTCTGTAGTCTTTGTGTTAATTTTTGATCTCTGTGTACTCCATTTTTTAAATGACTTTCAACCTTTCTAAATCCTCAACTTGAAAAAAATTCAAGTGTCCTTCTTCGAATGCATATGACTGTAAGTGTATTGCAATTGGATCTCGATCTCAATCTGCTCGTACCTATCTGGAACGACACCTAGATGAGTTTAAAGGTTCATCGCTGGATAACTTAATTTGTCATGGTCTAAAGGCTTTAAACAGTACATTGCCGAATGAAGTTACCTTGAATACGAAGGTAGGTTTATCTTTTTTGAAATAAATTATATGAGTATTTAATAAATGCACACCCATACATAAATTTAAAGTTATGTGCATATATATATATATAACATACACTAGAAAACAAGACGTTGAAATGACAACTAAGTGGATTATGCACAATGTAAATGACTTGGAAAGACATGTAGGATTAAAAGTACTGAAGAAATAAACTACCATGTACTAAAGTAATACAACGTAAGAGAATGTCTGATGCACGATGTTCATTTTCATATATGCATGTTTGCTGTCTGATTATCGTTTGCTTGAGCTGGGAGTCAGACCCTACCGATGGACTGATGAATGACACAAAGATTTATAATATACTGAAGTATAAGCTGGTGAAAGTCAAATTAGCGATTGTATATGCGTTCGCAAACAAACATTGGGCCTTGTATTTTAAATAAGTAAGTTTTATGCTCTTTTGAAAGTTGCAAAGGAAAATAATAAGATCTTCATTAGCCAATAATAAAAGTTCATCGGATGTTGGGGAGTTGAATTCTCAACATTTCCTCCATCAGTCCAAAGTCAGTTTGCAACTTTTTGTCGGACACATGTACCTTTCTCCCTAGGAGCAAGTGAACTGCTAAATACAGAGACAACGAGGTCAACAGACTTATCTTTTACGTTAAATACAAAACATGGCACGAAGTAATGGTCCGCTGGGACTTGTTTACAAGTATGGGGAAAGACGATTCTGGAATCATTCAATGGAAAAGTTTTCCGTCGCAGAACTTTATTGACTAAATTGTTTTCAGTTTGTGTAAAACGTGGGTTAAATGGCGCTGGTACTAATGCTCATTATGAAGTGAATAAGCCAGTGGGGCAGTACCTAAGTTCTCAAGGTGACACCACTTGATGACGATTCTTGTTATTATGCGAATTTAATTTTGTGATTGTAAACATTCCATAATTTTATTTCAAAAGATAGCAAGTAGTTGTATATGTTTTCCTCGGGAGTAAACTGTTTGCTATCAAGAAGTTACGGGAAACCCACAGAAACTCGATGTCCGAAAATCGGGCGTTCTTGACGTAATCAGTAATTCGCTTAACCATTGTCACAATATCTTGTTAGTACTGTCAGCGTTTATCAACTTTTCTTTTTATACTGTGTTTAGTGATAATATTTATTGTGTAACTCCCTTTCCTGTGACATTTTTATGCTTTAGAACTGCTCACTTGCTATTGTTGGAAAAGATATGAAATTCACAATCTTTGAAGATGATAACATTGATTCTTATCTTAAATTGTTCGAGGCTACACAAGCTAGTACACAGGCTTCAACTACATCTGATTCGGGCCCTACACCGATGGAACAAGATCAGCCTGCTTCTTGACAAATTTAGTGTGCATATGTGTTTGGCCTAGTGATTACAATTTGTGTTACACTGTTTGCTTTCATTTGTAAAGAAAAAATAATGAAAATTGTGATACAATGTTTTTTGTTCTCTATTACTTCCCTTTTGATATATTTTATTAACGGTTGCAATTGTTATGTGAAACTGATACTATATTTGTTTGATATCTTTTCGGATTTGTAGGAATATGACTGATTAAGCCACATTTGTGACCGACTACGTCCTTATGAAGTTTAGAATGCAGTCGGCCTATTTAAAACTGTTTAGTTGTCTTTTCGTAATTTCATTAAGAATTAAGCGCACATAGGGAATTAAGATGGTGTTTTACTGAATCATTCATGTTTTCCACTGCATACAGCTTTCACAAGCAAAGTTAACATATTGCTCAAGATATATATATATATATATATATAACAAAGATTAAGTCTGTGTGGCGTTTCAATAACTGGTGGACGTTCAAGTTGTCGAAAGATACGGTGATCGAATATCCGTCCAATCCTCGTTTGTAGTTGCGCGTTTCTATTGAAATAGTTTTTGTGAAGCGTCCTTACTACTATATTGTTCACTTCATTATAGTTACTGCATGGGATTTTGCTGTAATGTCATTCATTCTTAGTTGTCGTCTAATTAATTACGCGAGTGATGTTCGATGATAGAAATGTGTAGTCATGGTCATGTGTCATAAAATTACTTCACTTAATAGAATTCAGGAATGTTTTGGTGACATATCGCAGATGCAGTGGGACTCACGCTCTGCCTTGTTAAGAATTCTGCGTAAGGCAGGAATAAAAGTAACATTCAAACCCACAAACTCAATTAGAAACAAGCTTTGTCGGTTAAAGGATCCTGTGGAACCTTTAAAACAAAACAATTTAGTTTATCTAATGCCCTGCAATGATTGTCAGGTCAAACTAGTAGAACAGGGTCAGTGAGTCAGACTGGCCGAACATAAAACAAAATCTAGATTGGTTGACCCAAATAAGATAAGAAATCTAGAGGATAGTTCAGCTATAGCACTACATGCAGTTACATACAACCACACAATAGGATGACAGTATTAAAATCTAATGTCACAGGGTGGAGGGAGAAATTGATAACAGAAGCTTTGTTTATCGAATCAACTGCAAATACATGTAATAGGAATGACTCAACACCTGTCCCAGATATCTGGAAAATTCTACTACCCCTACGACAAATAGGAGAAGACAAAGAAAACTATGAAACTCAATTTTCGAAGTCGTGTGATTACAATTGATATGATTATGAACAATAAATTTTGTTCGAAACGTCATCCAGTAAGTAATACTGTTTCACTGTGTGATATACCTAATAAACAAACTAATATGGAATTACTTACTACCACAGTGCCCAAGTTTTGCACATATATCAATATGATTCTAGTGATGTTTTACGTTTTGTCATTCAGAATCCAAGGGCATATTCTTGTATTTGATAGTCAGGCATAGATACTGATGATAATAAATTCACCTATAGATAAAAGAAATATGACCTCAATGAGCGCAGTTACATGAGCCTTACCAAGATAGGTCGTGAGTTCCTAGGGTATATTTTTTTATCAATTACGTGATACAATATGAGAGATGGATGCATATTGTCTAAGCTGGCCATGTGATTATTATATTTACTTGGTTGCATAAGGGCATTTAATAGGCTGGGAGACTGACATAATGAGTTAATAAACATTTTTCAAGATGTATTGGGAGCATTTAACAACTAAGATTGTGCATACTAGTGATGGTAATTACTGGTTCAACCTAAACAATTATTTTCAGAGAAAGGCGGGATCTGAATTCCTAGTAAGAATTATATTAGTTTTTGATGTAGTTACTGATAAAAACTGCCTGCTATCTATCTGATAACAGTTAGAACCCAAAGTCAAATCTCCCAGGAAGGGGATATAGGTAGAATTCCTAATAAGAGATTACTTAATTTATATGCAGTGTTTCTGAGTGCTCATTAGCTCAACAGAAAAGAGGCATTATGCCTTTCTCACATTTAGTGAAGATAGCTTTAATGAAAAGCATTGTATCAAAGTAGTAAAGACACGTATTAATTTACGCAAACCTCTGATTGTTAGAAAGGAGAATATGAAGCAAATAACTATAAAGTGATTACTTGACTTGATCTATTTAGGTATGCATTAGCTGAAAATAGCACTCACTAGTCTGGAAGTTTCACCGATATAAGTTTTATTTTCCTCATACTACAAGTGATTTTGTTTATTAGTCATCAGCTTATCATCCGTCATGAAATACTGCATGCTTGAAGTTGGTCATATTGTACTCATTCTTAAGTGCACAAATTCACCGTTATTTCACCTTCTGTATTTCGTGAACGGGTCAGTGTTGAAGTGCAATTTTGACTACTGACTGGCACCGCAACAATCATGGTTATCCTCTTTGCTGACAAAGTCTCACAAGACCATTAAGAAATAAGCTGTAAGGAAGAAGTTTAACCGCCATATTAAATTATGTAGTATCACATTACTTACTGTTATGCTGCCTATTACTGCTTATATTTTCAGAGCTTTTTAAAATAAATATCTGAAGTCACTGAACAAAGTTGAATATATTCCATGAATTTGTGCAAACGATACATACTAAATAACTATCGGTTTACGTATTTGTCATTATTTTTGTGTAAATGATTTGTGTTAATTTTATTTGAATAAAGGAAGGTTTACTGGTGTCTCTACTATTCATCATTTTATTCATTTTTCAATTAGGCTTATGTAACAAGTACCCAGTTTTGCAATTGGCATTTTTCTCCTTCTGAGTTAATCACTCTTCGTGCAGATTGTAATGCAGCTGCTCTTAAACGACTACAGGCAACTTCAGAAACAAATAATGCGAAAAGTCCACCTGTAGGGTTGGATCCCGATCAAGAATTGAAAATTGTTAAACATTATGTATACTTGATGAAAATATTGTTTAGTAAATTTACGAGCCCTCAGTTACCGAATGAAGTAAGTTTCTAACTGTCATTATCAAGTAAACACATTTTATTAACCTCAATTTTTGTTGTTATTTTTTCTGTTAATCTATTATAGGATATTTTGAAATGTAAGTGAAATCCGAGTCTATATACATTTGACTTTATGGCATCATGAATATATATATGATATATGTTCTTCCAAAAAATATGGATTGTGAACATGGTGATTTAACTAGGTTGGTATGTACTATTGGTTAGTATGAGTAGTTGTAAAGTACTCACATCAAAACATTAGTATTTTCTAGCCACTTTGAAGTGACCTGGGTACTTACCATAAACGAACGAAACGGCTGTCGGGTGCTTGGATAACTTCAATCCGATTAGCAAATGGTACTGTTTAACAGAGTGGTTTCCAACTGTTTTGGAACTACTGTTAAAAGTGGTTATTATAGTGTTTTCTAAACAGTGTTTCTAAGCGAAGATTATTCCCAAGGTCTCATTAAATAAGCATATATATATTGCTTGGAGACTCTTGGTGACATGGTTAACAATGATGCAGTTGCATACACTTTATCGTCTTCCGGGTTCTGGAAGTCTCAGTCGTCATTCATGTGTCTCCCCTTTTGAATCTGTGCTCGTCCATTCTGGTTTCATTATGTTAGAGCTCTGTATCTCTAATGGATGCACTTCTGTGTAAACTGCTGCTTTGACTTGTTAGTCGGTCAATCAGTGTTTGAAATTTTACAACCTAAAATCTGTTTGACATGGTAATACGTATTACTTTGTATTTTTAAATTATTTCAGGTATACGGTTTTGCTGTCACCTACTTCAAACGCTTTTATCTTAATCACTCAGTTATGGACTTCTACCCACGTGACATTATGTTAACTTGTCTATATGTTGCTTGTAAAGCAGCAGATTTTCCAATCGGCCTACAAACATTCATTTCACACATACCCAGAAATCAAGAACGATACAGTTATCTTGTCCTTAATTCTGAACTTTTCCTGCTTGAGTCTTTGGGTTATGATTTGTGGGTATTTACACCTTATCAAGCATTTACTGGGTTTGTAATCGATTTAGTGGCGTATCAAGTGAGTGATATTTTTGTCCAGTATCTGTTTGTATGTTGTAATATTTCTTCCAAAGATGATTGTGTGAAGTCGAGTTAGTTTTTGTACTGTATATCTCTTTTAGGCTAACCGAAGTTGTGAAAAAAATGTCTCAGTGTTTTAACTCTGCCTTTGGGAATTTACCATATCTTCTCAAAGTTTTACAAAATAATAACTTCAACTTGCACTGATACGTAACCATACCACGGGCTACTTTAAGAAACTGGGAAGACAACGAGTGAAGTTATTGTGTACACTGTGTGAGAAAGTATTGGGTTGATGTTGAGTTGATTGAATTCTAGACTGTATTGCAGTATTCTTATACAGTTTTAAAAGAGTTTTCATTGATGATGGATTCATATCACATTAAGAAGCCTCACCCAATATATTATACTCAGAGGATACTTTTTGTATCCTCATTTCACTATACAGTATGGATTAAAGTCAATACGCTTACCTAACCAACTGTCGATTTTATCTGAACTATTTGAGTTCATTTCAAACTGATTTCGCACTCATCAACTAGAAATATCCGGCGGTAATATGTAGAATGACTCATAATCGTTCTCACATTCACTACGTTGCTCTAAAAATCTCTAGTTTTTTCGTAATACATATATATATATATATAGGCGCGACTTTTTAAATCCCTATACATTGTAATAATAATAATAATAATAATAATAATAATAATAATAATAATAGGAAGTTAATAAAAATGAAATAAACCCCATTTATTAAAGTTGGTAAAATGTCCAAATTCTTGATGACAATAATATCTTGTCCATTTGATACCGAACGTTTTACATATTTAAGAAAACAGCACAATTCACTGACGTTTTTGTGTGAAGTCACAAATTAATGTAGGGTTTCTTAGACCAACGCAAATGCATTGGGATTTGAACTCCCCACGTACTGCCTAGAAGTCATACCTTTGTGTATAATCCACTTCTACCATTAACTACTTTTGAATTGTTAATTCATAAACAGTGTTGCTTTTACTGATATGCTTGTAAGAATCTAT